CCCCCCCTTCTCCCTTCCAGAATATCCATGGCATTGTTGTACTCGGCCCTTGTCAAGGCTTGTGGCCAGCATACCCAAGCGAGCCGTCCACTCGTGTCTCTGTCGGCTGGTACGCGCAAGGGCAGCACTGCATCCTCCGAGAAGGCAGTTCTCAAGGAACGGGCCTGCTGTTTCTGTCAGGGCGCGTTGGCTGATTGGGATGGCGCCAGCGAGGCTACTGGTACAGCGTCTACTAGTACAGCGTTGAATGTCCGCAGCGTATGGTGGCATCGACGATGCCGCCGGGCGGCCGTGGCTTACCTACTGTTGCCCGACCCGGCTGGCTCAGCAAGCAGTGGCGTGTCTTGCTCTTATTCGATTTCATGCGGCTACCCGTCGCATGTGCAGCTTCGTCCCTTATTTCCTGGCGGACGGCTCGTTGTCGGAGTGGGAATGTATCTGATCAAAAGTCAGTCGAGCTCCTTCGAGGTTCGCCGGTGCACTTACCTGTTCGGACACGTGTAGCCATTCCTCGATGCTCCTGATGTAAGGGTCGGACTCGGAATCGACGGCAACCTCGTGTGACCACACGGCTACCTCATCGAATTCCGCAGTGACGCGCATGACCCCTTCGTCGGTGACATCGGCGTCGGCATCCTCGACGTTGTGTCCTTGGACTTGAGGATCTGACGGTGCGGCTTTGTCTTGAAGCTGCTTCCGCTCGACAACCACGCCCTCGAAGTCGTTGGGGACGGACACGGCCGTTCCCTTGAGTTTCCTCCCGCGAAAGTAAGCCACACTGGCCGAGCCTGGAAGCGAGCCATTGCGTTAGTGCACGCGATCGTAGCTACACACAATGGCATGGTAAGCGGTAGGCTTACCCTCGGCACGCTCTGGGTTCCAATATGAGGCTACGGGGTCGACAGAGCCGTTGTGGTGGATGCGACAGGGCAGGAGATTCGGCACGGCCTTGGTTGACCGAGATGCGGCGTCGCGCTCAATGGCGAGAATTGACTGAGACATTGTTGGCGGGAGGGACGATGGCGACAATGTGTTGGGGCTATGGGGGGAAGTCGGCGGCAAGCTGCTTCTCTTTATCGTGCCTTTCGGTGTAGGAGTCGAGGTCGTGTGGGTGGGAGACGCGCGACGTGTGACGGACGGGACAGGAGACGCGTTGATGGAGGGGGGAGCCCGCCCTGGGCTCCTACCTACCTACCTACCTTTAGGTAGAGTGGATAAGGTAACCTTGAAGTTGGCCGCCGCGAGTGCGTCCGCCCAGGTACGAAGTACATACCCACCCGTCTTACGTAGGTCGGTGCCTCACCATTGGTTACACACCTACTACTAGGTACCTAGGTACTGCAGCAGCGCTGTCCCAGCGTCGTACTGTGGAAGGCGAGGGCCGGCGGGATGGAGGGGTTCGTGGCGGCTCGCAGGGGGCCCGGGGGCTCAACCTCATGGGCCGGGCAACCTGGAAGTTCCTACCTCCACCAAGTGCCAGGAAAGTATGTACGCATGAGCCGCTCCCGTCAAGACCCGACTTGCCCCGTGCGTTTGTGGCCTCCGCCCCGAGTCAAACCCCCAACCACTTGCGCCTCACTTCCGGTCTCACCACTGTGATGCATCTCGCTCACCCTCGCACAAGCCGCCGCTGAAGGGGCCGGGCATAGCTTCGCAGGACGCCTTTGCTGGCCCCGCCGCACTGGCTCTCATCAGCTCGTCCCTGACATACGTAGGCACGGAGTAGGTCTTAAGTTAGGGTGGCAGTACAAGACGGCCGGCTAGCAGCCATGCACGACGCAACGCCTTGGCCATTTCTGAGGGGATCCATGGACTAACTAACGTTAACATATTACTGTATCTACTCGTGCAGCCGGCACCTTACCGAATGGGTGCGCTCGACTTCCCAAACTAGCGTCAAGATGGCTGGACGCCCGGGACCGCGTCCGCATCGACCGTGCCTTTCTCGATATCAATGACATCAAGACTCGGCGCACTCGGACCCCAGCTTAACCGCAC